AATATTAATGAAAAGAGTCTAGAGCTAAAATTTTAATCTCTTTATGATCTTAATTATTTATTGACACATATTTATAAACTTAATTTGTTTTTAACTTTCTTGTCATAAATTTTAATAGGGTAAATTACATAATACCCCCTCAGGTTTGAGGTTTATTACAATCCTATACAACATCTTTAACATTTCACTTTCAATACCTCACCTACTATTTATTTCAATAGTACCCATTAATTTCCATCCCTGATCCATAACTGACGTGGCTGCCACCTGTGTGCTATATGGCAAAAAAAATAATTTTTTAATTTTGTTTTTAAAACCTGAATCTTCTAAAAAAAAACTAAAAAACGCAGAACCCACCCACATTCCCCTTAACCCTCCCCACCCATCTTCTCCCTGCCGAGCCGAGCCAAAACCCCCTCTCACCCTTCTCACTCCACCCATCTAAAAAACCCACCCCATCCCACCCCACCCTCACCTTCCCTGACTGTCTACAGTCACACGTTTACACCAACATAGACACAGAACACACCATCGAGAGAAAGGAGAGAGAATGGGAGAGTGTTGTCCTCCGATGGATTTGTTGAGGTCGAAGCCTATGCAACGCCGCCGTTGTCCTCCTCCTCCGTCGTAGCAGTGTACAGGACCCCTCCACCGTATCGCTCCACCCACCATGTCTCAAAGCTAACCAGATTTGATCAATGTATTCGTCCACCCATTTCAGGATTTCGAACCTCGACGGCATATTGAAGAACCTTTCCGAAGAAGAGCACGACGATGATGAAGAGTTTGAGTTCCTCCGGCGACGATCCACGGTGGTGTCACTCCAAAACTCGACCCATCTAGGGGTTTTGGTTCCTGAACCGAAACCAACGTCCAAGCTCCGCCGCGAGAAATTTGAAGACGACCCAACCGATTTCTCGCTCACTGATCTTTGCTTTTTAAGGATATACGGGTCGGTCATTGATTTCCGAAACGTTGTCATCTAAAAGGGAGAATGAGATAAGGCCGTTCCGTACGGGAATATTGGATTTTGCGGTGGTTGTTGGGGTTGGTGGGCCGGCTGCGGCTCGGGCAGAGGAGAGGGAGAAAGGTGGGAGGCTCGGGAGGGAGAAAAGGGGTGGGGAAAGGTTGCAAGGGAAGTGGGGTGGGTTCTGCATATTCTAGCTTTTTTTTTGTTTTTGTTTGTTTGTTGAGAAGATCTAGGTTTTAAAAAAAAATTAAAAAATTATTTTTTATGCCACGTGACACACAGGTGGCAGCCACGTGGTACAAATGTGGCAGCACGTCAGCTCTTAACGGATCAATTGATGGAAAATGTAATGGATGTACTATATTGAAATAAAATAGTAGGTAAGGTATGAAAGTAAAATGTTTTAAAAATATTGTATGAGATTGTGATAGATTTCAAACCTGATGAGATACTATGTAATTTACCCATTTTAATATGTATAAAAAATAATGAAAGCTACGTATAGAAACAACACGTACTTTGAGGGCAGAATAGATATCGAAGAGAGTCCACGTAGCATTAATAAATGCCTGACAATCTGATGCTAATGCATTCTGTTCCGGTTCAGACATATTTGTGGGTCAAAGCTTTCAGGGTATTGGATTTTTAAATTATAAAGTGTCTGATTAATAATTTCGATGAAAAGGACATAAATTCACCTTGAGATTGGGAGAGAGAGCAGAGGAAAAACCAGATTCCATTTCAATATTTAGGGTCATTGCTTAACTATAGGTGCTGCAATGTTTGGGAAATTAAATTTTTAATAAATTAATGTTTTATTAATAAGATTTAAACACGATAATTAATAATTAAATAATAATTTAATTATCAACAAAAACGTAATTTAATTTAAAAAATTAATATAAAAATTTAATCTTTGTACCATTATCTCACACACTAATACATTCTATATTCCTATAATGCATTGGAAAAATTACACATAAAGTATACTTTTCATACTTAATTTTATATTGAGACAACATTTTTTAAACATTTCAAAGAATGGCAAACAATAATAAAAGTGAAAAATAACATCATTTGTTTTTTGTTTTCCTCTGAAGTTTAACTTATGAAAATACCCTTTATTTTTGGTATCTTTCCATACTTCTCTCTCCAGCATTGAGTTGTTTGTGCCACCTAGGCGCCTTGTTTCTTGGGATTCAAATAGATGATGTAGTATGTGCAGGTTAGGCATCTACACATTTTTCCTGCAAGAAGGAGTTTCCCATCATTAGTTGAGGTTGACTAGTACAAAAGCTAAAACAATTATATTTACACTTAGAAATGAGACCTTAGAAAACCTATTTCAAATTTATTTGTTTCATTAGGTACATCAAATATGCTCTCAAACTTTTTAAAAGGATAAAAAAAATTGATCCAAGTAAACAAAAAACCAAATTACAAAACAAGCATCAATTTTATATCCTTATACATTTGGACATTGTTCAATGAACTCTCAAAGGATTGAACACATGATGGAGCCTGCACAAGAGAAATTAAATTAATACACAGTGATTAATTAATTTGATTTGAAGGAGGATGTTAATTAACTTTGAACTTAATTTGATTGATAAAAAGGTAAATTCTTTGGAACTTACAAGTACCGAGTAAGAATCAATCTAACCCAACACAACCTAGGCTTCCCCATTTACTAATTCTTCTAAAACTATACAAATTGGTTTTATTATAAGATATATAAAACTGGTTCAAGTTCGTGCTCCACGATGCTCTCAATTCTTCCGTAACCCTCACCTCCCTCGCATGAGTAAGAAAGTTGCATATATATTTTTAAAGTATTAAAGTCAATTAAGTTGCATATATTTTTTTTAAAGTAAAAAAAGTATACAAAACAGATTTTATATGTATTTGAAATTGATTCTACAAAAAAGGTAGAAGACAATTTGAATTGATTCTGCAAAAATGGTTGATGGCAGGTTGAACTGATTATGCAAATGGTCGAGGATGGTTTGAACTGATTATGCAAATGGTCGAGGATGGGTTGAACTGATTCTGCAAAAATGGTCGAAGACGTTGAATTGATTTTGCAAAAATGGTGGATGACAGATTAAACTGATTTTGCAAAAATGGTCAAAGACGGATTGAACTGATTCTGCAAATAGTCGAGGACTAGTTGAACCGATTCTATAAAAATGGTTGAGTACGGGTTGAACTGATTCTGCAAAAATGATCAAGGATGGGTTGAACTAATTATGCAAAAATGGTCGAAGACGGGTTAAACTGATTCTGCAAATGGTCGAGAATGTGTTGAACTGATTATGCAAAAATGGTCGAATATGAGTTGAACTAATTCAGCAAAAATGGTCGAGGAGGAGTTGAACTGATATAGCAAAATTGATCTAGGACGGGTTGAACTGATTATGCAAAAATGGTCGAAGACAGGTTGTACTGATTCTACAAATGGTTGAGGATAGGTTGAACTAATTCTGTAAAAATGGTCGAAGACAAGTGGAACTGATTTTGCAAAAATAGTCGAAGACAGGTTGAACTAATTCTGCAAAAATAGTCAATGACTGATTAAACTGATTATAGTAATAAATGATACAAACTTATTCTACATATAGTTCAAAACTGATTCTGCATAAATAGTCGAATATAGGTTGAGCTTATGACACATATTTATTTTGTTGGAGTTGTGAGAGCTGGGTACTATTAAAAGCCTAAAATCTTAGGGGTATGGTTAGTATTTTAAAATGTTGTTTTCATGTTTTTTGGTTGGGCTTTACTTGTTTTTATGATTTTATCTCTCCTTGACATGTTTAAAACCTAGTAGAATTTCTTGAAATATAGTAAAAGTTTTTGTCTCTATATATATAAAGCTCCCTAATGCTTTCTCACGAGGAGTAAAGATTTTATATGGGGTTCGTTTATCATCGCCTTTAGTTTGAATCTATTAGTATAATTACGAGTAGAAGATTTATATATAACTTTGTATTACTGATTTGAAACGTTATGATAAAGGTAGGTCTATTTCATAACAATGTTATGTGTGTGAAACATATATTTTTATATTAATAGTTCAAAATATCACGGTGAAGGCAAATTGAGTCCATAACAATCTCGCTTTGATAAGAAATGATCACTTTATTTTATATTTACACTCTCAGACCATCTCCAACCCTTGATTTAAAATCATTTTGAATTTATTTTTAGCCCGAGATTATTAAAAAATAAATTTAGGATAATTTTTTTTCTTAAAGTAACTTTTAAAAAAAATTATGTAGGCTATCCTAATTTAATTTTATGAACATTTTAACCTAAAAATATTTAAATTTTGATAAATATTGAAAAAATGCTAAACGGCACCATGAAACTCGTGGAACACTATGAAAAAATATGAAACACATAAAATAATTTTTTTAATTACTTTAGCCATTGGATTTAAATTTGGACCATTAGATATTTATTTATTTTTACCGTCGGATTTGATCAAATTAGATATTAGTCGTTGAATTCAATGAATATATAAATATAAAATTAAAAAATACACATATATGATAGACCAGCCTCATTGCCCCATAAATGAGTTTTGGGTTTTAACTCATATTCGCCTCAAGGGTTGGAGTAAGTTGGGGTAAGTTTATAACCTAAAATTTGAGTTTTACTTCAAGGATTGGAGTAGGTCAAAAGGAATTTCCATTTTTTTAGAATTAAAATTAATTGTTAGGCCATTTCATATTGAATTTTAGACGATATGAATCGTTTATTTTTTTAAATTGCATTTTATAAAAAAAATATCATTTATTGTTTAAGTTGCATTTTATAAAATAAAATTGTTCTAAGGGGATGCCCATTTTTCTTAGAAATTAGAATTAGTTATCGGTCCACTTCATATTGAACTTAAACAATTATTATAAAAAATTAACTAAATAAAAAAAATTTAAGACATAATTATGCTAAGACTTTTACGAACGCTGTGTCCTGTCCTATGAAACAATATATATATATATGTGTGTGTGTGTGTGTGTGTGTGTGTGTGTGTGTGTGTGTGTGTGTGTGTGTGCAGCTAGTTAGTGTTCTTATGCCTCCGCTTTAGATATTCTATTTTCCATTCCTTAAACGGTGTTGAGAGAGAGAGATGGAGCTTAGCCAACATGGTTTCTTAGAGGAACTGCTACTGGCTCCAAGAAGAGACAGTTGGAGCAGCTACTCCTCTGGATTGAATGAGTTATTGCCCATCAATGGATGGAGTTTCGATTCTTTTGAAGAGAACCCAGTTCTGGTTTCCTCAATTAATCCTCAATTTGTTGGATTCTCCACCACACAACCAACCTTTGAAGAATGCCCCTTCACCACCACCACTACTGCCTCCTCCTCCTCCTACCCTTTTGTAGTTGGTGGCCTCTGTGCAGTCCCAGAGATTAATGACACTACTACCCCTCCTCCATTTCCACCACAAGATCATCGGGATTACCCTTCAATGGTGGAAGATGAAGAGTTTGGTAATTTTCTTGGGTGTGAAAACCACAGCAGCTGCTTGGAGTTGGAAGAAAGCAAGAACAATAATATCAGTACTTGCAAAGTTGAGATGGACCAGGAAGCAGCAGATCATCACTTTATTCCTTCAGCTTTTACCATGGGATTGTGTGGTGAAAAGAGAAGCAGTAAGTCTAAGAAGTTAGAAGGGCAGCCTTCAAAGAATCTTATGGCAGAGAGAAGAAGAAGGAAGCGCTTGAATGACCGCCTTTCCATGCTCAGATCAATTGTCCCAAAGATTAGCAAGGTGATCCATCTTTCTTTTGCATTTGTTAAAGTTTCAATCTTTTTTTTTAATGTTTTAAAATGGTGGCATTTCCTTGTTCTTCTTGTTTCTTTAATGTTAAACTCTGAGAATTGATTTTCGCCCTTCATTTTCTATTACTTCAAAAAAAATCAAGAGACAGAGACAAAGATATGAATGCAGGAGTAGAAAATGAGAGTGAAAATCACTACCCAAATTCTCCCAACTAATTTTGATAAATTGGGTGAATTACTATTTGGTAAAGATTAATTTAAGGGTTAATTAATGTGAAAAATGGCAGATGGACAGAACATCTATACTTGGAGACACAATAGATTATATGAAAGAGCTTTTGGAAAGGATCAATAAGTTGCAAGAAGGGGTTGAAGAGGGTACCAATCAAATCAGCTTAATGGGCACCTCCAAGGACCTAAACCCCAGTGAGGTACTAGTCAGAAATTCCCCCAAGGTAAAATTTAGTACTTTTTCTTTACTCTCTCTCTCTCTCTCTCTCTCTAACTTCTGCATCATTGGTTTTATACAGTTTGATGTGGAGAGGAGAGACAAAGATACCAGGATAGACATATGCTGTGCAAGCAAGCCAGGATTGCTGCTGTCAACAGTGAACAGTATAGAAGCATTAGGGCTTGAGATTCAACAGTGTGTTATAAGTTGTTTCAATGATTTTTCAATGCAAGCTTCATGTTTTGAGGTTTGTCCATAACTTTTTTTTTTTTATAATTTTTTTACAGTTAATTTTTTGATATTAATGTTTAATTAAATTTCTCTAATGATTTTTAGGGAGCTGAGCAGAGAGATTTATTAAGTCCTCAGGACATAAAGCAAGCATTGTTCAGAAATGCAGGATATGGAGGAAGATGTTTGTAGGAAAATAAGGGATGCAAATTGCAAAAAGAAAAATGGTTTGCTTAGAATTAAAGTGTGTAGCTAGGAGAGAGATGGATTTTGACATGACTCCATGAGATTTTCCAAATAATATTGTCTACTTTCTAATAATTGTGCATGTATTAGATGATCCATCTTGCAGCCTATTCAGTATTATCACTCGGATTTAGGTACATATATACCGACATCTGTATACCATACACCGACTTCTGTGGTGGTTGATCTTTTGATTGTTGTATCATTGGCCGCACATCTAAAGCTCTATTCATCATATGTCATATACTGGAGCATTTACTGTTCTAAAAAATCCCCGCTTAGTGGCAACCGTCTCGATTAATGCTTAGACGTTTGAAAATTAAGAAATGGTGCCTAGCCTTGCTAAGGCGCCCACCTAGACTGCCTAAGCACCCGCCTAGCCCGTCCAGACCTGCCTAGGTTCCGACTCACTTAGAAAGAAAATAGATAACTTTCATTTTGCATTTTATTTTTTTCTTTCAATAAATTGTAAGAGACTTACTGAATACTTAAATGAACACACATTATATACTTGTTTCCCATATTTTCATTGTGTTCCAATATTTCATAATAAATATGTTAATCTATTTTGTAGTTTATGATCAAATTATATATATTTTAAATATAAATAGACACTTATTTACACAAAATATAGTAGATTTACTTAAATCTGCCTAATTTGCCTAGCCGTCCATCTAGCCTCCTAGTCACTAGGCCCCAATCCGTCGTCCGGCTAGCTCCTAGCATATTTTAGAACCTTGTAGTAGAATTTTAAACAATTTCAGTACACATATGCCTTAAGAATTTTCGATTGTTTAATTGTTGTCTTCTTGACCAAAAGAATCTGTGAACAATGTCTAAAGTGCCAGCAACGATAAAACTACACAGAAACCATGACAGCAACCTGAAGAATTCCATTGACCAACACAAAAAAAAACCATATCTTGCTCATAGGATGTCATCAAATATTCTTTTCCCATCATGCACAAGACTTAGTGCCAAAACATTTGATGTTTTTTCCTTTCACCAGACACAATGTTGTGACGAGATGAGGAGGGCACACGTTTGATAAATGAGCGAACGATTCCAATCATTTGCTTGGATTTTGGGTGCCGGGATCCGTTTGACGTCTCTTCGATTGCTTAATTGGACGCAATCCCTTACTTCCAATGATAATCAAGGTTTGTTTCGTCGGTATGAGTGTTATGTTAAAGGCGACGCTCTCTCGACAAGCTTTGTTTTGAATGCGATTCGAATTCACAGGTTGAAATTTCGCTGTCACCACAAGGCCAAACAAATATTAGCGGGACTTAAGCCCACGGTTGATGCAAAAACATAAAATCGGATTCTTAGGCTCAAGTTAGTCAAAATAATAGCCGACAAGTCTCACCCATCAGTGTCTTCCATTTTGTTACTTCTAAGATATGTGTTTAGCTAAAGCTGAAATCAGATAAAGAAAAAAAAATAAGGATTTAGCTCTGTTCATATGGTACATTTCTAAGGAAAAGACAAGATAACGTACTTCTAAGTATCATCTTCACCCTCCTCGTCATCACTTATAATGCCACCATCGTCGAAATCAGAAGAGTCGCCGGTGACATTGGCCTGCAGATGTTGGAGTTTATTGATAGCATCTCTTGCATCAGAAACCAGGGCAATTTTTGCAGTTCTCACCGCATCCACTTCACCAATTCCAGAAGTGGATTGCTGAGTGCGCGTAGATGCTGCTTTTCTCTTCGCTTCCCTGGTATGTAATTGGTCTATATATTTCTCATGCCGGACCTTGTTTCTGACTTGCTTCAATACCCGGGGGCTAACGAGAGGTTTACCACATGAGCTACTAAATCTCAACAGCCGCTTCTTATGACCTGAAGAAGATCTTTGACTGCGATTCTGAAGAATTTTCTTCTTTTCCTGTAAGTTTTTTGGGGTAGAAGGTATAACACTCGCATGACTCTCACTAGGTGAACCTAGACTGGGCTCGAGTACCCAAAATAGATCTCCCTCATAATCTTGGTACACTTGATTATGTTTTTGTAATAATTGTCGGACTGTTTTCTGGGCAACATGCCTCCTCTGCTTACTGCATTCTTGCCTTTTAGACTTTGGCTCACTGGGTTTAAGCAGTTTACTTGCAGAGAGTGAAAACTGTCCAAGGGGGGATGAATTTGTTAATGTGCTTGCCCTCGACCGGGTATGAGGTTGAGGTGGAGTTCTATGCTCAGAATGGACTCTATCAAAGCACTCCTGTGCAGATTTCCCAGGCACCTGAAATTAGTTTGTATTCAACACAAGTTACTGTGGATATAATCTAAATAAAGCAGCGGTGATATATTGGCTATGCATGTCAAAGGTCACTCAAGAACCAACCTAACTACCTGATCCCACTAAATGCTTAAGGAACTTAAAACAAAGCATTTATTAATGGCTGAAAACTTTGCTGGCAGCTAACCATCCAAACAAGTAACTGGCAAAAGATTGAATAAGGGAGAGAAATCTGCAGTTGGTTGTAAGTAAAAACAAAGTTCTTTAAAAGCTTTTCAAACTTCGGAACATGAAACAACTGTTAGAGCTATCCACACATAATTAAAGGTTAAAATGTGATCCCTATCTCATCTGTAGCATGTAGAAGAAAATTAAGATTCTATAAGTGACTCAAATGGAAACAGATGTGGTGTCAGTCTGATGGCTAGCCTTAAGTTTATGAATTGTCTGCAACTACTAAACATGACCTTCTCAGCCCTGCTTTGCTGCAAGTAACTTGGTTTTTGTTGCGAAAAATTAAATGGAGTAAACTTAACGAGCACCAATAAGGTGAGAAAACCAAAGCTATGCAACATCAATAGATTGGTTACAAAAGAACTATACTTTCTGCAACGAAAACTAAAACCGTCGCCGAATTTAATCAATAAGACATTGTTAGTTGAAAGATAAATGCCCACGATCATCACAAGAAAGCAATAATGGAATTTTATAATTGCCTTTAACATTCAGTCTATTTTGATCATATGTAACAGTTACTAAAAGTCATTCTATTTGGTTCTTAGAAATCTTACTCACCTTGTCTTTTAGCTTTCCAAGAGTTTTCTGGTATTTAATAAATAATAAGTCTTTAGGATTTGCGTCTTTTGGTTCTATATATGACGTGTATAAATTTGATTGAAAGGCTTTGTTACCTTCAACGCTTAAGGCCTTGATGTCTCCATGCATCTTTCTCCTCTTTTACTTTTTTCTATCTCACAAATTTCTCAGAAATTATAGTAACCTCAAAAACTTCACTTTGGTTTGTGTTTTTCCAACATCATTTGAAAAATAATCTTTTGCCAAGAGACCTTGTAGCTACAATTGTTATCAGTTTTTTTGTTTGAGAACATTTTGGTCATCAAACTCTCAAGCAAGAGAAAAGAGTTAAAGTGCCAAAACAATTAATATCGAAAACGGTCCTCTTCTTGGGGAGGCCCTACCCAACAGAAGTTCTCTATATACCTAATTTACTAAATTTAAAAAAATAAAGATTATGGTTCTTATCGAACACTGGCATTCTTTTATCCGGTTGAGTCTCACATCTGTATTACAGTCAAACATTAAAAACCCAAGTGCTTCAGTCTAAAAGGTATGTGCTTAGGTCAATTGAGGTAACTACATCCATAGCAGGTTATTCTCAAAAGCCATACCGCTAATATGGTGCTTTGGTAAGCCCAATATTAGCCTATCACCATTACGGCCTTTCCTTACAATGAAAAGGACTATCAGTCTATCAACCAGGCCATATCACCTTCTTGCATAATAATAAGCCTTCATAAAATATCATAAATATCCAAAACCACAATGAATTTGATAAAAATTGTTTAAGACCAGTTCCCCACATTGTCACTCATTGGAAAGAGCATCATGTACCTATATCTTAAAAATCCTCCTTTCGAGAGTTAGAGTGATCTTCATTCCACAATTGAACTATACGAATTTCGGACTCACTATAATATATTTCCCTCCGCTCATTTGGCTTTCCGTTGAATTAGAATAACAAAAGACTTGCTGAGATAAAAACAAAAACAAGATGTGGACTCCTAGTCCCACTATATCAACAAAACATAAGGACTAATTATCAATAACTCAATATCAGTGACAAAGTTTACAATTTTTAGTAATATAATCTGGATTGCAGACTTCAAGATCATACTTAAAGACACAAAAAGATTAGTACTATTATTCAATTTAGCCTTCATATTAAGAGGCTAAATTATACTTTTGATCCCAATAGTGGAAGACTGACTCCACTTTAATCTTACAATTCTAATTTCAACAAATTTAACTTTGCAATTTGGTAAGTTTTGAAATGTTGTCCAAAGTACACATTTCCATCACGTTGGTTAAGAAAACCATCAAAAGGGCAAAATAACTTATTCATCGTGGTGTGGTTCTATATCACTGTCACATTAGTTTTCCCAGCTTAGCAGATATAGGGAAACATCTTTTTCATCAAACAACAGAGGAAATATAGGGCAAACTATAAGGTTGATTTCGTTAAACTTTGAACTACAGAAACCGCACAATTGGGCCTAACAAAATTCAATCTTCTTATTGCCAGTAATATGAAAGAAAACTAAGCAGCTTGACATGAAAACAAGATTTTCTGAATTAAAGGATCATAAGAACAGCAACATACCAGTTTGGAAACCTTCTTCCAGAAGTAGGGTGTTGGCTTTGCTATTAAATAAGCTCTCTGCAATGCGAATTCTTGTTCCTTTGTCCACCCTTGAACAACCCCAACACCTTCTTCCTCCCTCTTTCCATTTTCCTCCTCCCTCTTTCTCTTCCTCCTAACCCCCACTTCTTTATTTACACCATCTATCTCTTGCATTTTGCACTCTTTCGAAACTCTTTCAGATGAATCAATACAAGCTCCATCTTTTCCAACACTTGAGAACTCCTCTTTCTTCAATGACCTATTTTTTCCACTCTTAGATCTAGACCCAGTTGCCTTATCAGTGCATTGATTCACAATAGATTGCTCAATACAGAACCTGACAGATTTTCTTCGACATTTTGCTGACCCAGAACTCAAATTTCCGCAATTACCCGACCCATTTTCCAATTTGCCCAATTTCTTCGATATTTGTTTTGAGGGACCCTTACCTTCATCAACAAGGACGAGCTGCTTGTTCAAAATCCTTGAAGAACGTCTAAGCCTCTGAAACGCCTCAACCCCATTGTTCAATCTCGGAGATCTTCTCGGCCCATCGTGAGATTCACTCGAATTCTTAGAGCTAAGTGGGAGACTCAATGAACGTACGACACGGTTGCTTCTGGCTGTGGATTTGGGGGTTCTCGGGTTTTCAGACTCCGCAGCGCTCTTTTCCAGGCAGACAAGTCTCTGAGATTTCGGGAGAGTGGCGGTGGACAGCTCTGGTTCTTGAGTTTTCTGGTGGTGGAGAAATCTAGGAGACCTTCGGAGAGTTGTGCTCTGTTGTGCTGCCTTGGCTACGGAGGCTCTCACGGGCATTTTGCAAACACTTGGTGGGCTTTCTATTCACATGAGACTTTCTTTAGAGGGAAGAGAATTTGAAATTCAAAAGTTTACCCTGTTCGGCAGTCCCAACCTCATTGTCTGATTACGAATTCACTCGTCAGTCGAATCTCGAGTCCATGTCCGAGTTCATCGAGTCCAAGGCCACGCTCTCCTTTTATCTCTCTCCTCATCCGTGGGTTCGGTGGTGGTTTGATTGGCTATGGGTGATGGCAGTGGCCGTGATTTGAGTGGATTTGTGGTGGTTCCAGTTAAGTTTCTAGTTGCGATTGGGAGGTGGTTGGATTGACGGCAGCGGCTCTGGTATGAAGGTGGTGACTATGGTGGTTGTTGTGGTTCAAGTGATCGAGAACGACGGTGGTAGTGGTGTGTAGGGCTAGTCCTATATTTCTATGTTGTGCTGTGGTTCTTGCTTTGGAAATGAACATGAACGGGTTTTACAAATGGGCTTTAGAAACACTGCGGAATGGGAAAATTGTAAATTGGGCTTACCCTGTAAAAGTCAGACAATTATTGAAAAAGAGTGGGCTAGGAACGAGAAATCCAACCCCAATCTGACCAATTTCCACTTTACGAGTCTCTCTCTCCTGCTACGCATGATTTGACAACAATAAATAATTGAGATTTAATTGAATCTCTTTTAGTTAAATATTCATTATTTATTTGTGAAAATACCTGTGCAGGAGAGAATTACCGTCTACTTACTGCCCTCAAATTATCTATTCATTTGACTTTACTATCCCTTTTTTTGTCTCACTATCATTTCCCAAACTATAGTTCTCAAATCACTTTTAATTTTGTCTCTCTCAATTATTGCCACGATCTAATAGTATTCCTTTTCATTTGTAAGTGTGTTTAGGCCCAAAATAATATTTTGGGCCGAGCCTGAGATTATTCTAGACCCAATGGTGTTTATCTAGAATTTTCTTGTGGGTTGTCTAGTTAGGGCTGACCGAATCTTGTTGCGAAGAGGATTTGTTTGGATAAAGGGTGAAACAATCGATTCCTAGTGAAACAAGGAGTTTTGAAGCCAAAGATGCTTGGGATCAGGGAGATGAATCTGGTCTGTTATGGGGTTTGGTTCAAAGTTCTATTGGAGCTAGGACTGGCCAAAACCTAATCAGATTGGGTTGAGGAGTTCTAATCCGAGTACGATTCTAGCTCGGCCATTAAGGGGTTTGCTACTATAAATAGAGGAGGGAATGCATTGTTTAAAGTCTCTCCCATTCAACACACAAATTGTCCCGTGCAAAGCTTCTCAACAACCTAAGATTTTATCCTTCTCCCATTTCTTCCGCCAACACATCCTCAATTTGGATTAACAACACTGTGAACGCAATCGGTGACATCTTCACTTTGGATAAACAGCATTGGAGTCGTAGAATCAGCTGATCAATGAGCACCTTCAGTTTGGATAAACAGCACTGCTTCGAGACCGACTAGTTATTTATCCAAGTCTCGGTCGACAGAGACTTTCGAGTTCTCGTTGGTAGAGGTCATCTTATCAGCCTTCTCGGTGAAGTGAGGTGTTACAGGTTACTAGGCTCGGTACATTGAACGTCGAGTTGTTTTATGATTGGATATTCGCAAGTGAGTTTCAAAGTTCGGCATTCCGACGGCCGAATCACATTTACTATCAAGACATACATCTCTTTCTATTACTTGTGTCCATATAGCTTGGTGCCAATTCGGCGTGCTTATACTCTTACCAATATAATCACCATGATTGAACCTGGTGCCAACGATTTGTGAACTTCACAAAACTAGCATCCTTGTGTTCAGGCTCTAGAACCCAAAGGCCAAGATGTGTTCCTTCATTGGCCGCAATCACAGGATCAAGAAGTCAACAACGCACTCAACGCGACATCAACACATTTTACTCCTCGATCGAGCTCGACAGTCGAGTTGGCACGCCCCGCACATAACCGAAAGACGTAGTTAGTTTACTAGTTACTCGACCTGTGCACCATGTAGGCTTGGTAGTTTTTAGGGTCAACATTTTGGCACGTCTAGTAGGACCCAATGCTAAAGCTACAAAGTTCATGATCATTGAGACATAGTTAGTAAAGAAGAAAACAGTCATGGGTAAGTCAACGACTAATCTTCTAGTCCAAAACCCAGGACAAGATGGCTTACCACAGGCACAAAATCCTTCTACTGCCGTAACACCTGAAGCTACAAGTGCGACAAGCAGAGATAAAGAAGTAAATCTTGGCGGTCAGCCTCGTGATGCAGAAATCCCCACCAAAACAACGAAAGGAATTTTTGTTGAAGGATTAGTGGAGGATTGTGACGAGGACAGTGGTGAGGCCTCTAATCCACCGACTAGGTCGTTTCTTCAAAAACGACTTAAAAAACAATCTCGGCAATTTGAGAAAATGTTCAGTCAAGAGTTGAAAAACATACTAGAAGAGATACACGATAATAGCGATATACATAACAGGTTGCTCAAAGTACTAATTAATAAAGCCCACGAAGAAGGGCTTGCCGATTGTTCTAGGCAACCTCCATTCAAGAACAATCTCCTGCCAACAGTACAGGCGAGATAGGATCTGCTCAGCTCAAAATTGACACGCCCCGACCTTGATATTCCTCTAATACCAGGATAGACACGTGCTAGCCAACCCCCGAGGGTGACGAAAGCCATTAATTAATACAAAAGCTAAGAATAAGAAGTAAATAATACAATAAGTTAATAATTTAAGAACGTGTTCAGAGCATACAACTAACTAGAACTCTAAAAGAATTAATATAAAATTGAATGAACAAAGGAGTAGGTCCTACACCAAGAGCACTCGAAGATATCTTACCGCTGTGGAAGTGCCTAGACGCCGGGATTGTATGCCTCGATTCTAAGTCCTGAATAGGGGCGCAAAACAAATATGAGTGGACCAAGTTTATATATACAATAATAATAAAACAGTTATCAAGATATTAACTCCCACAATTTATATAAAGAAAACTACTAGTATAATAAGTGATAGCTTTACTGAAAATCCTAGCATGCCAAAAATATCTCAACATGTATAACGCGGAAAAAACGTCATATAAATCATCGCGTGTATCGTCTCGTAAGCATGATGTGCTGCTAGTAAGATCACTGAATAAATATAACTCCTGGCCCTATGCCAGCACCGTGGTCTCTGTGCCCGTAGCCAGAGATTACCAACTCCTGGCCTAATGCCTGTTCCCTGTCCCTCAGCCCGTAGCTAGGGATTATTTCTCTCGGCCTATATGCCAACACCAGATCCTCGCCCCAGGCGACATAGTGTCCATTAGGTAAGCACAAATAGTTACGCCTCTCGTAAATAACCACTTCATAGTATAAAGTCATCCATCGTCTATACTATAAAGAAGGGTTTTGAAAACACGTTCTAGTATCCTATCGTCATCCATTAGATAGTCTACTAGTTCATGGTTTTTATAGAAAATACGATATATTAAAATATAGCTCAATATAGGCCAACAATTAATTCCTCACAAAAAACGAGACGATAAACAACATATTCAATAAACATGCTTATCATAAAATCAAATCATAAACTCGTAAGGCATGCTATTCATTTATGTAATTGAACTATAAAAACATGTAATTTTAGAAGAGGTCCACTCACAGATACTCCGTAGCAACAAAGTTGTGCGGAAAAGGATTAAGGAAATCCCCACTAGCAACTTCACCTATGTACAATTTATCAAACTACCCAACTATAGAATTTCAAGAAATAGAAATGGGTCTTGGGTTTGGATCCGGATTAGGGTTTAAGTTTAGATTAAATAAGGTTAGGATCTATTGGGTTTTGGGTTTAGGGTCCTAAGGTTTTGGTTTAAAAGGATTAGGGTAAAAATGAGTGGTTTGGGCTTAAGCCCAAACCCACACACACACACGCATTGCACCTCACACGCACACAGAGCACACGCTCACACAGATGCATAACACACGCATATACACATGGGCATAATACACACACACACACTCACACGGACACACACACACACACTACTCACAAACGCACGAACACACTCACACACACCACACATACGCGCAGTCCATACACACACATACTAGACATACGCACGGTCCACACACACACACCAAACCCACACCCACAAACTCGTCGGATTTCGACTGATGTGGGTTCCCTGGTTTCTGGAATTGATTGCATAGAATAAATAGAGGTGAAAAACCTCGGTTTCACATGGGTTTGCACTAGAATTTCACCAGAAATTCAGATAATTTCCTCATGGCATCATAACAGATGAAATCGAGTCAAATTCACTTTGATTCGATATGAACATGTCGGATTTCCATTGCTGGTTTTCAGGGAATAAAACAAAGATGCATGCAGGTGTGAAATCAAAGATTCCTATTCCAAAACCTTACAAAAATCTCACAAAACTGTCATAGGTCCGACCCCAAGGTTGATGGGTTCCTTGCTAGAGTTCGTCCTCATTTTCTTGTCGAAGACTGAAAACAGAGATGAGTATACATTTGTATTAGTGCACCCGAAACCCTCTCATATTCATCAATGACAAGATAGAAGGAGATTAGAGGTACTGCAAACCCTTACTGACTTCGAACTCAATGACAATTGTCGGAAATTGTCGCCGGAGATTAACATGCATGCACAGATGAATTACAAAGGTTAACACCCTCGAATTTCAGTCCAAAATAATAGAAACTCATCCCCAATCAAGATGGAAACCTAGACATTTGAAGAATGAACACAAGTTTCACCTGGGTTTGAGTTTTAGAGCATTTAAAGCTCTCGACTTCAATTGGCAGAACACACAGAGGTGTTCTAATGATACAAGCAGGGTTATAGCTGAGTTGCTCAAGCCCCAAGGGCTTTAGATATATGGTTAATATGATGGATTTGATTAATTTTCGAAGAGGAAGGGAATGAGAGTTCTCGGAGCTCTGGAGAGTATGAGAGTTTCTGAGAAAGAAAGTGTGTGAAGAGAGAGAGCGAGAGTGAAGAAAGTGAGAGCTGAGAAAGGTCTCGAGGTGGGGAAAAGGAAACGGAGTGAGTTGGGGTGCTGCCACGTGGCAGCAAAATTATGCATATAATTGGGGGTTGGCGTGTTACAAAAATGATCGATTTAGAAAAGAGAGATGGGTCAAGCAGTAGATCAGATGAATTTGACCAAGGAGCAGAAACGACATCTATTAATATGGTCAAGGTTCAGAGAATGATTGATTTAGCCGTAAAAAAAGGGCCAAAGTTTCCGAAATTCATTCATCCATATCCAGCCTTCGTAGAAAAATTTGAGTACCCTAAGGGATTCAAAATTCCAGACTTTAACCTTTTCGCTAGAGAGTCATCCCTATCATCGTTAGAACACGTGGCTCAATTCACTGCCTAATGAGTGGCGTTAACAGTGATTTTCATAAGGTTCGATTGTTCAACTTCTCGTTAACCGACTCAACATTCGCGTGGTATATAAACCTTCCACCCAACTCCATCCAAAGCTGGGAGGAACTAG